AGGTACACTTGTTGGACCCCTTTCCCAAGGATAGGACGACTAACTGTGTTTATAAAATTAAATGTAAGTACTGTGCACGTGTGTACATAGACTAAACAGCGAGAGAATAATCCACACGAATTTCGGAGCATATGAGGCGCATTTCAAGACCACCAAGAAACGAGTTTGAATACCAGGCAATAGTATGAGACTGAGCCGTAGCTGTGCGTGCATTAGACACGGGTCACCAGATAGACGTCGAAAACGTAGAGGTCACTAGGAGGGGCGTAGGATCAACACCTCAGCGGTTGATTGCCGAGGCGGTGGAAATTGCCAACTCTGACGACTGCGTGGATAGAATTGAGGGGGCAGTATTCCATAAGGCGTGGCGGGCGGTCTTCAGCCGGCCAGCATGACGAGCATCGGTGTGTGAATCAGATTGGGAAGTGCAAACCGACTCCCATTATCAACACTATGGGCTTATCCGTCAATGTCATGACACACAAAGGAACACCTGGCATATTCCCACTGTGATTGAACAACCTGAGGTGACATCGCGAACTGTTACTGTAATGACATCATGGCTCAAGTCTTGTGTAACGCAGTTATCGCCTCTGTTCACTATAAAATCCCATCCCAATTGCACACTGATTCACCTGGTCTGACGAAGCTCTTGTGACAATGGCGAAACCTTACCAAACTACTATAGCAACCGATTGTTTCCAAACCTTTTTGAAATCATGACTACCCGATCGGTTCCAAGTATCTTCCAAAAATTTGAAATCTAGGACTCTTTCCAGCGCTCTACCTTCACTGTTGCTTATGGCAGGCCGATCAACACACGCTGCAGTTTTGTATGGGTATGTGTGTTCAACTGCGAGTCGATTGATCGCTTAACCCGACAGTCTGCGCGTTACGACCTCCATCTGTCTCTACCGCCTAACCTTGATGCGATTGTACAACTCTTAATTCGTTCGGGTTTTGACGTGTTTGTGCTGCACGCCTGGCGCAAAGAACACCCATTACTTTGAGCGCACAGTTAGGTCTTGCTGGAAACGATACGTGAACGACTAGCATTCTAATGGCTTAACGTTGCCTAGGTTGCGCAGTCAATTACAGTAAAGTCCTTAAGAGCAGAGCAACCTATTCTAGCCGCATTAGGTCGTAGTGTCCGCAATGTGTAGCCAAATCCGTCCAAGATGTGCGACAGACAAATAAAATTGCTTACACAAGTATGTTTTGCCAAACATGTCTAGTCATTCCAATTGCCAATTTTTTAAGTTTGCTCATGAAAAAGTGTGGCAGGATGACTGAGGTAATCGCGCATTTTGTGAATACTAAGATCAATCCCACCTAGGTAAATATGGCCAAGATAATTCCCTAACCAGCCAAAGTGAGCTTTGAATCTCAGCCGAAGAGAGCTAGGCGCTCATACCGCCCTGCAGCATCTGTGACTCTAATTCCACTGGGTCACCTCACTCCCATAAGTGGACAATCCTCAAACATGCCTGCTTCCTCTTCTCCAACTATAGACGCTTCACCTGGAGATTCAGCCATGATACCTATAGCTCAGAGCCGAAAGCCATCCGGTGCAGATAACAAGCAGGTAACGTACGCATCAATTGCCTCGACGAAGACACCGGGAGCGACGCATGTAAGTCCATCTTCTGTACCGAGCACACGTTTAGCCAGGCAGCTTTCACCGTCAACTCCAGTGGTGCTTTCTAAACAACCCAAATTTCCGGCAAAAGCCATAAAACCGACACTCGCTAGACACAATCACGCTACGCTAACTCTCGTGTTCACCAACGTACCCGAATCCAAATCTGGCACAATGAAAGGCAAGTTGCAAGACGATCGCGACCATTGGAGTTCAATCTGCGATGCGGTTGGTATTTGGGTTGATCCTGCAATGCTGCAACGCTTAGCGCGCCACCTGACCTCAGTGCGCTCTGGTGAACCTCGAATTCTTCGCGTAACACTTGACTCAGCAGATGAGACAGAAGCTGTCCTGCTCTCTGCAGTTCGTCTTCGCAACTCACCGAGCGTGGTGCGCATATTACCCGGGTCGTGTCAAGCATTTGCCTTTTTTATATCGTTCATTGTACACAAATGCACGCATCGGCTGCAAACCTCACACATACAAGAAAGTTTTCCTTAAACTTGAGTGCCAGGGAAATGATATTTGTTAGAAGTTGCATTTTGTCGTATGGTAGCCATCTTTCCTATTTGATTTGGATTGGAATTGCCTCAGATAACCGCTTCGGTTGTACGCTTCATACTTGCTCAGAAGGTCGAGGGAAAACCACAACTTTCTGCCAGGAACTTAATTACGCACAGACCGACCACTGGTAGCCGCTCAATGGGAAGAACTATTAATGGAACTGTGGAAATTACACTTGCTAAGTAAAAAATGGAGAACGGTCGATAGCGGAAACGGTAAGAACGTCTTCCTCCTCACGGAGATCAAAGCGACATTATGTTGGGAAAGCTTTACGGCGAAATATCGTTTGATTCATGTCAGCATAGTTTTTTCCGGATTGGCTGCAATTTTACTGGAGAAGTTCGGAGTAGTATGGCTTAATAGGTCTCCTGGTTTCACCAACCAAAATTAGTTGCAGATGAAGCGGAAAGTGAGCAGCACAACCTGCTGTGGCGACCGCTTCTGTTATATATTGTATGTGATGCTCACTGTCATGCAGCCATAATTCACTCTCTGTGGTTTGTTAGCATTGGAATGGCGCTTGATGAATAAATTGTAGTGCATGTGCCAATCGAGAAGTAGCAAAATACCGTGTTCACATACTCAGCATAGTGCATATGCACAATTCATGAGCAGACAGCAGCATATTGACAGAAGTGATAGCAAGCAGTCTTACGTAAAATATCCTGTAGATTGTACATGTGTTACCCATGTTTTGACCCCATCACCTTATATAGTCAAGTCATTCTTTTCAAAAGAACACGAGACCATAGGTGAACAAGTGTTTTCGATGATTCTCTTCAGACCATTACAATCATATTTAAGGGTACAATAATGAACTGAAATTAACTCATTGGATCAAGTTACATAGTTAATTAATGGATCAGTGAGGGAGGCTAAAAGTTGACCATTGATCTGACAGGTCGATTGCATGTTATCGAGCTTGATCTGTGGCAATCGACCTCAGTATCGTTCGTTCTAGCTGGCCAGGGAAGCTGTAAGACATGGAGTAACTTCTTTTGTGAGCATAATGAAGATTGAAACAACCGAATGCAAATCGATTCAGCTGTCGCGAGCGCACGGAGGCGCAAACCACTTGATTGATGCTGGGGAACCCTGTAAATTATCCTGAAGGCACGCTTTAGGTCGACTTGGTGCCCCGTGTCTACAATATGGGCCAAAACGGCGCTGCTAATGGCCGCAGTTCCTCCTTGACGCAACCAGCGCGGGCAGTGCTCCTTCACGCGTTTGGACAAGGGCCGTGCCGTTCGACCAATATAAGTAGCGTCACAAACGCACTGGAACTGATAAATAACCATAGATGAGGTCAGCAATGGCAGCGTATCCTTATTGCGTGAACAAACAAGTGGTTCAGTAGAAAATGTGCACTTTAACCTGGCTGCTGGGAATGTCGACCTGACTACCGCTGAAAGACTTTTGATTAGGCGCTCGGCACCTGCATCCCCCTTAGAAGGTATTCTTAAAAATAACTCCTTCGCCGCGGTTAAAACTGGTACCGGCTTGGGCTTTTCTTCAAAATTCTTTGAAACAAATCTATCAGGGTAGCCATTCTCGCGCAGCGTATTCTTTATAAAAGCTAGTTCCTCATCCAGGGTGTCCTGCGAGCAAATTCTACGTGCTTACATTCTACGTGTTTACATTCTTTTCAGTTATCTGCTCAGCATTTGGCTACTGAACGATGTCTAACCGACATGGCCATTGCACATGAGCTTGCAAGGCAAAAATCTCAAAAAATATCGGAAGAGAAATTGAGGCAAAAGTTGCGTGAGGGTAGGTAAGTAATTTTGATAGCATATTTCCATAAGGTACTTGTGAACAGCTTAATCATTGAGACGAAATCGTGTTTGTTTGCTCGTATATAAATAAAAATATACATTCAACTAGAGGAAAAGATCTATCCATCATTTATAAATGCACTGCTTTTCTACGATGCTCAATCACACCAAAATGTTGTTTGGAATGCATGAAGGTCTGGAATATATATTTACTTGAAGTGTGCGTTGATGGGAGTTCGGTAGAATAAGGTTCTGCGCCAAACTAGCGTAGGTAAACAATGTGGCTTATTTTTAAAATGAATAAATCTGAATTAGCAGGCACTCAAAGTTCGGATTATCCTGTGAAGTATTACCCTTTTTGAAATTGACGGACGTTTCGTCCTGGTTTGTAGTTGCCTCTTCAGTGAGTGTTAGTAAATACTATTTCAGGTAATACTTTGCTCGGGCGCACAAACGGTCTTGTTTTTACCATGTACTAATAGTTGCTCTTTCTACGTTATTTAAGCCAAGAACTGCGTGCGCTTGAGGCGAAGCTGAGGAATGCTTACATCGCCAAACAACAGCTGATCCAGATAGCGGACAAAAAGGCCCGGATTTGTGATGAGATGGTGAGTTTGTGCCATCCTATTTCATTGGATTTGTTGAACACAGTTTGAGGTAGAGTCCAGACAGGTGTTTCCAAAAGGTATCCACAGTACTAAACCTCCGTACTATATATATATATATATATATATATATATATATATATATATATATATATATATATATATATATATATATATATATATATATATATATATATATATATATATATATATATATATATATGGTTGGCGGCATCCGGTTCCGGATTTGCTTGTAACTGCGTCCTCCATAGGACAGCCACAGGACGCCTGCGCCTACAGAGGGACCATGGGTGGCTTGCGCTGCACCACCCACAGCTCCATCCACACACCCCATATCCAGTGTAAACCCGAAGGAATAAGACCAGAAGGCATGCGGATGGGAGCCACGTTTCATCTAAGGAGCCGGCCCACACTCCATCATAGGCAAACACAAGCACACTGTATATGGGGAATCAAACGTACACAAAGCGGTGGCTGGACCGTAGTCCAGTCCACATTGGGTGCTTGAAACCACCCTTTGAGTCAAGCACGGCCAAGAGAACCGTGCATCCCGTCCCCCCAGCAGAGATCCACAATCTCCTGGAGTCAATAATCGAGGTGGACGGTGTGAGATAGGCACCTTGTTAACATGCACATCAAGCGCAGCCACACTGGAGGATCTCAAACAAAGTCCATCACTTGGAAAGAGAATATTAAAGAATAGTTATCGTATAAAGTATACGGATATACGGACTTAACTCTTTGCTAAATGAGCATATGAAATAAATTGGTTAGCAACAAATCCGCGATAAGTTTAAGATATCAGCAAATATTTTCTCTACTAAATGCCACGAACGCGAAAAAGGTAACGAATCTAACTAAAATCTGCTTAAGCGATATGTGTAAGTAGCAAGAAGCCTCTTCGGACAGACGTTCAAAGGGCTTAACAAAGTAAGCATTAACAAAATATAGTAAAAAGACCATCAGGTGAGCAAATGCTTTCAATGATTCATCGTCAGACCATTACAATCATATAGAGGCTAGAAAGAGAAATCGACCCAGTTAGTTCAAAACGAATTGATCACGTGAAGGTCAATGTCAGAGTGGAAAAAACGAATTAGGTCTTAGAGGGCTAGATGTTCGCTACCGCGTCTGACCGAAGGCAGTCGACCTGGGCGTCTTCCATCTTCGCTGGCTAGGGAAGCTGGAGAGCCTGGACCAGCTTCTTCTGTGAGCATAAGCACGGCTGGAACAATCGAATGCATATTGCTTCAGCTGTCGCAAGCATACGAAGGCGGTAACCTTTCGTTCGGTGCGGTGGAACCTTGTAAACTATTCGGAAAGCGCGTTTCCAATCCACTTCATGGCCGGTGTCCACAATGTGGGCCAGAATGGCGCTACTAATGGTTCCGATGCCCCCTTGACGAAGCCAGCGAGGGCAATGTTCGTTCACGCGTTTCGATAACTGCCGCGGCAGTTATCGAAACGCGTGAACGAACATTGCCCTCGCTGGCTTCGTCAAGGGGGCATCGGAACCATTAGTAGCGCCATTCTGGCCCACATTGTGGACACCGGCCATGAAGTGGATTGGAAACGCGCTTTCCGAATTGTTTACAAGGTTCCACCGCACCGAACGAAAGGTTACCGCCTTCGTATGCTTGCGACAGCTGAAGCAATATGCATTCGATTGTTCCAGCCGTCCTTATGCTCACAGAAGAAGCTGGTCCAGGCTCTCCAGCTTCCCTGGCCAGCGAAGATGGAAGACGCCCAGGTCGACTGCCTTCGGTCAGACGCGGTAGCGAACATCTAGCCCTCTAAGACCTAATTCGTTTTTTCCACTCTGACATTGACCTTCACGTGATCAATTCGTTTTGAACTAACTGGGTCGATTTCTCTTTCTAGCCTCTATATGATTGTAATGGTCTGACGATGAATCATTGAAAGCATTTGCTCACCTGATGGTCTTTTGTTCTAGAGACTTAAATGGGAATTTTCAAGTTACTTAAAATATAGTAAACCAATCATTTGACATAAAGAAACTCAACACGCAAGCACGCCGTCAGTAAATCGAATGAAGCGTATCTACAAACGCTGTGTCGGTTAGGCTTAGGTCCTCAGCAACACCCGTGGTCGTTTAGATGCTGGTCCTGAGTGGCCCCGCCCATAGCTCACTAGGCCTGCCTGACTTAGGCATTCGGAACCGCGTGCTACAGCATCATGCACCATGCACCCCGTCGGTGCCTGTTGCTTTCGCACCTCCCGTTTCCTCTCAGCATGTACGAGAGCTTTCTCTTGCACCTCGGCAAATACCTTCCTGCTAAAATCCTGCCATGCACGCCGATCAACCGCTTTTGATTCCCAACACCTGTATTCAACATTAGAACTTCATAGGTCTACTGTGATCATGTGCTGCGAACTTATATTTGGTTTTCCTACGTGCCGCTTCCCTGCACTCAGTTGACCATAAAGCAGCTGTTTCGGTATCCGTGTCGAACCCATACGCCACATTTGACCGAGCCACGGTAAGTGTCTCATCAGAAGTATGCATTCCACTGCATACATCCCACTTTGTCGCAACACCATATCTGCAAGTGTCGCACCAACCGATACGCAGAATCCGTCGCAGACACTTCTGATGAAGCCGCTAGAGATGTCTCACATCTCGCCGGTACCTCGTCCACGTTTCGCTGCGGTATAGAAGAACGGACAACACCATGGATTTGTAGACCATCAGCCTCGTGCGAACGGTAAGCTGGTGATTGTTCCACACTCGGTACTCAAGTTTCCCGAATGTCGCCGCTGCCTTTGATAAGCGGATACGAAGCTCACTGTCTAGCTGCTGGTCAGTCGACATTACACTCCCAGAGTAGCTGAAACAGGAGGTGGTTTCCAATACTTCAGCACCAATGCTGATTCGCGGCAATATTGAAGGTTGCACTTCCGGTGAAAGCTGAAAGGGACAGACAGTTTTGCTTGTGTTGATGGTGAGCCCCAATTTGGCCGCTGTCGAAGCCAAAGCACTAGTCATGTGCTGCAACTCATCCGCGCTATGCTCAAACAAGGCACAGTCGTCAACAAACAGCAACGTACAGATAGTTGTCTCACAGACTAGTTCTTGCACCGAAAAGACGAATGTTCAGCAACCCACCATCAATACGGTGCTCCACACGAACACCGTAAGCACAAGTGGCATCAAAACCACAATACATCATGGCATGAAGATAAATATTTAACAGGGTATGAACTAAGACACAGCCTTGCTTCACACCAGAGACAACTGCAAAGTCATCCGAAGTCTCTCCACTCAGCTGCACCGTCGCTCGCATATCAGTGCGCAGACATACAATTAAACTTACAAACTTACGCGGACAACCGAACTTACCCAAGGCCAGCCACAATGCCTCGCAGTTCACCGTACCAAATGCATTGGCAAAGTCAACAAACAGCGAGTACAACGGCTGGTGTTGTTCTCTGCACTTCTGCTGCAAGCTACGAGCCGCAAACATCACGTCGATGGTGCTGGGACCCGAACGGAATTCACATTGCTCTTCCGCCCCCGTTAGGTTCCACAACCTGACTGACGAAGCGATTGAGTAGTATTCGGGCAATCACCTTGCCCACACAACTCAGCAAGTTGCTGCCACGATAATTCATGCAACATTGATTGCTCCTTGTGCCCTTGTACAGTGGTAGCGCAAGGGTATGCTTCAACTCAGGAGGCACCTCCTCCTCAATCCACATGCGTTGCACCAAGTGGTGCAGTGCAGTCACCAACGCGGGTCCGCCTTGTTTCAATACTTCAGGCGGGATCCTGTCGGCACAGGCATACTTTCCGCTTCACAGCTGCGAATGTGCTCCCTGCGTCTCATCGTGTCTGCGTGTCCATCAAACTCACCTTCACCTCGTGCTGCTTCACGCCGTTCAAATTAAGCCAGATGATAACTGTACGGTTGTTCAACGAACAGTCAAAATGATTTCGCCAGATCTGCATTATTTCTGCAGTCTGTGTGCAGGTAGCGCCTGAACTACCATCGATCAGTGGCCTCAGCGGCTACAACCGCCTTCAAGGAGTCAAAGAATTCCTTGTGTTGGCAGCGTTCGGACTAGCATTCCATCTGCTTCGTCTTCCCTGTCCACCGTGCATTTTTCATGCAACAGAGATCTCGGGTCAGTCGCCGTCATATTTTGCGAAACTGACTACTCTTTCCCAAGTCACTGGGGTCTGCCACATGTACATCAAATGCTACCTTCTTCTCACACACCAATGCGCCAATCGTCGCATTGTTCTCACTAAACTAAGCAGGCCACTTACAGTTTGGACGCCCGATGGTCTCTGCGGCAGCGATGTCATCTGCTCGCGGATGTGGTGTCACAAGTCACCTACTGCGACCATGCATTCCACATCAGACAGGCGTGCAGCCATCGTATTCTCCAGCTAAATACACTTCACCATAGTATCGATGGAGAAAGTGTTTACTTAAAGCCGGTTCACGGTAGGAGGGCAATGCAGCGAACCGGTTCTCACTGAGCGCCGCAATATCGATGTAGCGCACCAGTTCCATGGCGATTAGTGCAGTGCGTCGCTCGGGGCGCTCACTAGAAAATCGGTGTAATAGTGTGCGCACGTTCTAGCACCCGATATTGTGTGCTTTGCGCGAGGATATACGAGTACATTGGTAAGCAATCACGCGCGTGGTGGTAGTTGCGCTCCCGAAGTTTGTTTGAGGGACTCCGCCTGGAGCCTTTGGCTCAATAGCGTGACCCACAAGGCAGTGAGGAGCAGATCCAGCTCGAGAATGTGACTGCAGAGACAGATTGGGATCTGTTTGAGGTTTGCCATACGTAGTGTTTGCAGTTCGGGAACAGTTCATTTGTGTTTTGCGACCGTAGTAATATACGCATCTGCGACCACGGCCAGACGCAGGTAAGTTTCGGCGGGTTTGCACCAATATGACCAGAGGCTGCCTGACTTGAGTCAAGCGGTAGCAAACCACTGAGCACCT